TGGATGTTGTTCTTTCTTTATTTTTTTTTTCTTCAAGCCAAATTCATAACTTGACAACTTCAAATGAGGATAAAATATGCAATCAGATGTTTTGGATAAAATATGCAATCTGATGTTTTGGATAAAATATGCAATCTGATGATCCAAAACAAGGGGAAAAAGAGATTCTACCACCTACACTTGAGGGAGGATAAGGGTTCATTCATCTTCTGGTAACAATCATAAAGGCCTTGGTTGAGAAAATTTGAATTCCTGTTACACTGTATAGTGCAAATCCTGACTTCCAAGCCCAAATTTAAATGGTCACCAGCAAATGGTCCATCAGCAATGAAATGTATGCAGCGAAAGAACTAACTTAGATTGGGCTGGACCCCAAAATATTTTGCTTTAGTATGCCTTGAACACAAGCCCAACATTTTCCGGTCACACTTTTTTCTATAACTATATATTCATTCCTGCCTCTTGCCACTAGACCTTCCTTACCTGGTACCTCTTCATCATGAGGTAGGCAAACCCAACATAGTAGTAGGTAGTGATCTGGCAAGCTGGAACTCTTGAGTATAGACTCTGTTGGAAGACAACATACATGTCACTGATGTACAGTGAATTGGTATAGCAAGAGTCTCAAAAATAAATTGTACATCACACAGTGAGTAATTTGAAATGAAAGAGATTTACATTGAAATTCGCCTCACAATATCAAGACATTATCCAAAAAACTGATTATGAGAACTGGCAAATATATCAGCTAGTGAATGCTACCTATTCCCAGTACTATATGTAGGTTACATAGAAATGCAGCCCCAAAAAATGTTGTGCAAGGTAAGGAAAAAAAAAAAGAAAAGTGAAAACGAAAAAAAGCTCCTTGCATTTAATGAAGTAATGAAGGATTGGTTTGCTTGTGCTTAACACCCTGTGATTGGTATGCAAAACTTGCTACAACTCCTCCACAAAAACAATGCAAGACTGAAACTGACTGCGATTAAGTTACTATTATTTTCCTCAACTTTTTGTCAGTTATGGTGTTTATTTTGAGTTTTCACTTTCTCCTTCATAATGTTAACCTTTTTTTACAACTAACCATTGTGATTATTATCTAAGCACTCTTAGACACCAGTATTTCTAACTATGTTATTTTACTCTTCAGTTTACCTTCTTGTTTAGCTCGACATTCTCTAAAACTTTGATGGCCTGAAAATAATCACCAAGCAGTGAATGCAGTCTCAGCAAACCTATCAGACTGAAGTAACCCAGCATCTTGTAGAGTGGATGAATTCCAAACTCACCAGCCACTGAGTCTGGGTCACCCCCTTGGTTATACCTCTCAAGCTGTGAGAACAAAACAAAACAAAACAAAAAAAGTCAGATCAACATAAACTAAATCTTCAATCTTGTGTTGATAAATTTTTCATGAATTTAAATAGGAGGTAGGGTGACCTAATGGTCAGTGCACTGGACTCTGGGTCCAGAGGTCTGGCTTCAACACCTGGCCAGGTCAATGTGTTATGTTCTTGGGCAAAACACTTTATTCTCTCCACCCAGGAGTAGAAATACTAGGGAAGCCTGATAAATTGGTTGGAGGTGGAGTGGGGGGTGACCTTGTGATGGACCAACATCCTATCCAGTGGTGAGTAGTGATACTCCTTGCAACTTCATGTTAAGGACACTGGGATAAGCTCTGGCTGGGAGGGCCATTTGGCTCAAGTTCCGAGTTAGATATAAACAACAAAAACTAACACTTAGGTCCAAGTCAGTCATTTTGTAGGATGCATACCACTAAGAAGAAAGAACCTCCATACAAGTAAGGAAACTAACCCCTAAGCTGTGGAGTTTGCGCTTCAATAAAAATATCTTGATGTGTATAGTTGTAATCAACATTTACGGGAATCAGTTTGCAAGATTTTTTGACATCAAATAACTGAGAAGTTACAGTGAAGATGCCCCAGAAATTTATTATAAATATTTTGTAGCTACCCACCTGGTGATTAATCTTGGATTTCTCCACCAAAGAATACAGCACATTGAGCACACTGTGAACATTCCAAATCTGAAAGATAAGATCCTCTTAAAGATCAGGATAAATTACATGATTGAATGGCAATCTGGCATAACTACAGCACTTTTCATCATCATTGTACTATCTTCTCTCTAGTGGAGAAAATCATTTTCAATCTTCAAAGCCCCTCCTATATTGATTAATCAGCTAATCACAACTATGAAAAATTCTCAAACATGATTGGTTATCACCAGCCCGTTTTGAGCACTAACAGGACACTGTATGATCATGCTTGTAAGCTGGACAGTGTACGCATTATACCTGTGAAATTGGACAGAATGCATCATGTGCATGCACTCTTGTCATGAATTTTGCTGACTAAAATGTTGCTTATTTCATGGAAACGTATAACCCATTAGTCACTAAAATTCTGTGACAGTCATAGTTTTGATTAAATGGACTCTTCTTGGTCCTATTACCATTACAAGTAACCTCTTCAACACAATACATTTGCCCTAATTTAAGCTTCAGACTCAGCAAAAAGTACTTGTGGATCATAATTTCTACGCCCTTATTTCTCTGGATTTCCACCCTTCCCAAAACAAGCACACCAAGTTCCAGTTTGATCAAAAGACAGTCTGGGATGAAACAACATCTTATCAAAGTGCATCTATTGAATCCTACAGTACTGACATGTATTTCTCTATACATTCTTTTACTTTGCATACCTTTGTATTTGCTCTTAGAGTTCCCACTTCATCTTCTCCCTTTTTCAACAACTTTGATCTGTACTGGCTAAATGCTTGGAACTGAAAATTTTTTACATACAATAATCAAATCAAATTCCTTAGGATTTAGTGTACTCAAATTAACCAATGATTAATTATACATTCATTAAGTAAAGTCGAGTATACTGAATGTTTTAAAAGCAACCAATTCATGTAAACATCTGCCACAACATTAATAACATTAAGCACTGTTCATTTAACTTCCAGAGTAATGTAATAAGAATACAGACTTTCATGCGCTTGGACCATAAATTGTGAGCAGGAAAGAAAGGCCCCTAAGTTATAGTATGGACCTCACACTTGGTCAGTAAGAGGAATTTCCTCTCTGGAGGAAAGCTTCTAACCTGGTAAATAAACTCATCAATAATATCCCACAACCACTGATTGGGCAAGCTGAGAGGTACTGGTTCATCTGTGTCTGAAAGATATTGTATATT